CAACAACAGCAACAACACCAGCACCAGCACCACCGCCACCAGCAGCAAGAGCTGCAGCAAGAGCAGCAGTGCCAGAGCAGCAACAACAACAACTATGCATGTCACTTCACACCTGACGGCGTCCGCACAACGAGGAAGATCCTCAAACCACATTGTGTACATGGAAACGTGTCAGCTGGCCAGTTTGGGAATTTAGGCTACCGAAGTCCAATGCTACCCACCAAAGATATCAACAGTTGCTGCTGTAAAGAAACACTCGTGCAAAATCGGCTCAACCGGGGCCCTCCCATGCTGCCAGCCACCCAGGTTCACTACGTCGGGGAGAAGGAGGTTCCTGCGTGGAAAGCCACCTGGCGCTGCCTGACTGACTTAGTGGCAGCTTTGCAACTCGGGGAGACTCTTGACTGTACAAATCCGAGGTCCTGATTCGTATTATCAGAGCATCGAGAAAGCGCACTGTCCACCGAGTGCACATAAGTGTGCCTCTGAACTTACCCAATAACGTGTTTCTCTGTTTACACGCAGCTTCACGGTTTAGCATTGCCCGCAAGCTTCTTGCACCCCAAACAGTAACAAGGGTGATACCAGTGACAACCATACGTAATGCTAGACTCTATAGCAGTAATGATAGCACATAAAGTATAACGACCAGTATTGCAAGAACGGACAGCAATAGTAGCAGCAGCATGAAGCGAAATAATTAAGACGTAGCCGCGATGGCTTGAACCCCCTGCATTTGGGGTCCCAGCCCCTCGCTCCCGAGCAGGCTATGTGATTCAGTGGCTGAACCTTGTGGATTTGTTTGCGATAGCACCTGGGCTGCAAAAGTGCCGGCACGAGTCAGGTTGTGCTGGGTCTCTGTTAGATGGCGCGCTAGTCCCGTCCATATAATCATCTTTCCAGGATCGCTGTCACTACGTCTCATGTCCTGTCCAAGTTTGGGACTGCTGTTAGGCCGGGCGGGCATAGCAATCGGACGCTTCAGCCATCAACAGGGACTCAGGGCTTCACGCGATTCCTGCTGTGCCGCAGTGCCTTGTCAAAGTCTCGATTCCCGTGTGTTGAGCCCCCAGGGCCCCAGGCCAAAGGTGGTTTGAAGGTGAGGCGGACCAGAAGTGTGTCGGCCCTACACGGCCAAGACAGACATAAATCCCCAAGCATCTTGACCAGCAAAGGAACAGTACCCGTGTTGTTTTCCTCCGTCTTAGCACAGCCGTAGCAAACCTAGATCTAATCTCTTAGAACCCACCATAGTCAGAAACCCGACAACCCTTACACTGTAAACTCTGGACCCTCAGGTGCCATTCTATCTGGAGCTTGCTGGGCTGCTGGACTTCAATGAAGATCTTGAGATCCATTGGGGGAGTTTGGGGGGTTTCAAGGTTCGGGGCTCTGGGGCATTCTGGGGCTTGGGTTTAGGGGGTTCTGATTTTGTTGTTTCAGCTCTAGGGATGTTTTGGGGTATGAGGTTTGGGTATGAGGTTCTGGGCCTTTGGGGATCCAGGCTGTTGGCTTTGACAAGATTGCGTGGTTCAGGGTCAGAACATTCAGTAGTCCTACTACTCCTCAGGGTTTCCTCTTTTTTTTTATAGTTGCTAGTATCCCCAAACCCTTAGCCCCTACCCCCAAAACCATCCCAAAACCCTAAACCAAAACCCTATTCTACGTATTAAGGGCGCTTACATGACCCGAAGAGGGGGAGCCTTTGGCTGCAGGCTGCAGCTGGGCAGCTCTGCAGTGATCCGACGCTCGGACGGCATGGGCTTCAAGGCTCTAACAAAAAAGGGCCTTACTTGGAGGTTCATGGGTAGTTATAAGTGGGGTTATAAGTCCCCTAATATGGGTTATAATTATAGTTAGCTTACTTATAACTCCACTTATAGCTACCCATGGACCTCCAAGTAATAAGTACCATACTATTTTGGGGGGCTCCTTATTGTTGTCATGATAGTACAGTGTACCCCAAAACCCTGTTCTAATTATTAAGGCCTCTACATTAGCGATTGACTAGAAGGCCTTTCCTAGGTAGCATTAGGGAGTGACCTTAAAGGCCTTCTTAGCCCTAGTTGTGGCTCTCTTAGAAAGGGACCTTAGTGAGGGGGACTATATCCCGAAGGGTTCCTCTAATCCTAAATTCTAGCTTTTGTCTCTAGGGTTACCGTTAGTATTAGGGACAACAAAATAGGTTCTATGACGAGGGCTACTATCAGCGATACTGTAAAGGTTACGATGAGGGTTTTCGTCGTTTAGGGATACTACTGCTTGTGTCACGGCATAATCAATTTTGCTCAAAGGCTCCAATTTGGTTTGGTACTTCCCGATGCCTGCAAAGGAACACCCTTGAGCTTTACAACTACAGACTCGCAGATCCCCGAAGCATACGGGTAGACGGAGACTGGGACACCCAAACAGCTTCGGCCAACACAGGCTGACCTTTTTGAGTTTGCGGTTTTGGGCTTCTGGATTGCCGCGTTCCGAGGTGTCATTCGCCTCATCCGCATCTTCCGGCTCCTCAAATCCCCAAAGATGCGAAATTGCGTGGACATGCGCCTTCGGCTGGATTAAAGGGTTTAGGGTTTGAGATGTCGGGGGTTGGAGACTCTAGGTTTTGGGGTGTAGAGTGGAGAATCCTCGCACAAAGGCAGCAAAGGTTTAGCGGCCATTGCGGAGCTTGGCCTTTAAGAGTTTCCGGGACTATACAAAGGGTACTAGTATTCTAGGCTCCCCCCCGACTGGAAGTGGCCGACTGCTGCTGTGACGCCATCTTCGTCATTGCAGATAGCAATTATAGAACTGGATCAGTAGCCGCTCAGCAGCTATGTATTCACGTTCCTTGTGAGAATACTGGAAATCACTGGCACATCAGAGAATACCGGAGGTTGAATGCGACAATTTGATTATAGAGGAATTAGGATTTGGCTGCACGTTCATGCAAGCGACAACAAGGGATGTTGCAAAAGAGCTTGAAGCCTCTCATTCTCGATTGATGACTTTGTGGAGGAGCTTCTCTGAGAAAAGGTATTGCATTCCTTCACAATGCTTTTTTCAGACTCCAAACGCAAGCCTTGTGACGTCCTGAGGATTGTTGACATCGTCAAGGATTCGCTGCCAGGTGTCGTCGCGTGAGGGTTTTGATGGGAGATCTCGTTGCGTGTTGGGGGATGTTGGATCACAGCTTCAAGTCTTCAGGGGGCAGCCTCTCGAGGGCCTTCCCAAATTCTGCAGAAACATCTTACAGACAAGATATGCATGAGATGTGGGTTTGCTCAACCTGCCACACCATCAGGCTGTCTTCTGTTTTGTCATGCTCTAAATTCAGGACGGTCTATAGGCTCGCGAGCACTGGAACACTTTCCGCTTTACCGTGACCCGATTGATGGGTTGTCGAGGCTCAGGGTTCAAGGTCACGGGGCCAACAAATGCCAAACTTCAGGCATCATGTCCGTCTTTTCCCTGACGATCTTGGTCTGCGTGCTTTTCGCGCATGGGAGCCCAGTACAGTAACCTAGTTGGTGATGACTGTGGGAATTTGGTCTTCAAGTTTTCCTTCTGGGGGGTTGACGGATTCAGGTGCGGGGTGTTGCGGATTGGGCTCCCCACGCAAGTGGATGAAGCAGCACACGAATTCGCAGCATGGGCTGAAGATCCTTGCTTACTACCCGAAAAAGGAGCACAGGAAAGACCCATATCTTTCGCCGCATTGTTCCAAACTGTATGATAGGCGTCGCTTCGGGAAAAACATCCCTCATATCACGATAGATACCTACTGTTACTTTCCCAGCCGGCTGCAAAGCCATTGAAATACCATCAACTAAACCTGGGTCGGCCCTCCAAGCTTGAAGCATTCATCCATGATCACGTACACCCCTGGCATTCATTGGGGTTGATGGCTCTTATCGTAGAGCTTCGACATTGACTTTATAACCTTCGACACGTGAGTCTGAGTTGAAGTCGAATGCTAGGACGAAACCCAGACATCCAAACCCGAAACCCAATCACGGCACTGTACGGCCCTATAGTTAAACCGTAAACCCCCACCGCCCGAACCCTGAAGACCCAAACCCAAAGGCCTACAATCTCTGAACGTGGAAGCTGTGGCTCTAAACGCCCAGCGGAATCCGCTTTTGTCTTGCTGGACTTCGGCAAGAGGAAAAGGGTCGTCCAAAAAAAAACCTGGGAAGCTGAGGTCATGCATCTATTTCGCAGAAGGCACCCAGTACTCCGTCGAGCACTTCACCTCAGAGTCGGGGGCCCAAGAAACAAAGCCTCATCGCTTTAAATTCAGGGTTTAGGGTTTAGGGGTTTAGGATTTAGGGGTTTAGGGTTTAGGGATGTTTAGGGGTTTGGGGTTTAGGGTTTAGGGTTTAGGGGTTTAGGGGTTTAGGGGTTTAGGGTTTAGGGGTTTAGGGTTTAGGATTTTGAAGCTCCTGCGCTCACATCACTCTATGTGTATGCTACTGCACTGCCCTGTGGCTAAATTGGCTTGTCTCTGAGCCTGGATTAAAACCTGGCCCCATCTTCCGAAGCTCTGCTACCATCGGCCATATAAACATACGAACTATAGTATCGATAGAAGTACTACAACTATAATAATACTCATCATAAACATAGTAACAATAAGAATAATAATAATAATAGTAGTCGTAATCATACTACAGATAACAGGAATAAGTGGCATCCTGCTCTATCCTTGGAGCCGCTGTAGTTCTGGGTCTATGTCGCATACAGCCGTGGTGCCACCTCTTGCTGCATACCACACCATCACGCCATCTACCTTTCTGACGAATCACAAGCCTTGGTGATGGCCTCTGGAGTTCTGCATCGGCGGCCTTAGTTTCTGAAAGTGCACCATCAGCCCGAAAGCCACAGCACTACGCCCTGTCATCCGGCTGGCGCAGGCATCCCTATGGCGTCTACGTCAGGCTGGGTCCGGGACATAGACTTACCAGCTACGATTCGAGCTGCCAGGTCGAGGATATCAACTTAATGTAGCAGCTGCTACTACCCATTATTGTTTACCCTAAACCCTAAACCCTAAACCATATTATTGTTTACGTGTCTTAGTGTTTTAGGGGTTTGCTGCTGTTTGCATGGGGCTGCCGGGCCATTGCACCCAACAGGAAGGGAAACAGCACTACAGCACATACCAGTTGGGTGAAGCTCTCCTGTTCCACGCGCAGACCGACGATCGACGGGTACGGCATGGAGGTCACCCCCTTTAGGCACGCCTGGCTGTTTGATACGACCTTCGGTATCTCAGACTCACGGTCCACAACATGCCAAGACTTCTTGCTACAAGGTTCAGCTAGGAAGGAGGATGAAGGCTTCGTGTCAATCAAGTCAAGGAGTCAAGGAACCCCAAAGAAGCTTTTCAGTCCTGAAAAGAAACCGCACTCGCGAAGCAGAAGGCCCGAATCCAACACCTTGCGACTTCCATTCCAGTCACGCACAGTAGGCTGCAGCCGAGGCTTTGCAGTTTGACAGTGGGCCTACGTAGCACACGGCAACTCCTTCCCCCGAAACCGCAGGCATGCAAAAGTCGAGATCGTGGACTCGCTGTGGGCTTTGCAAGCATAAGTGGCAGTCAAGTAAGACCACGCGAATCCCCAATCGATAAGCACCGGCAGCCAGATCGATTCTGCATGCCTTCTGGTGGTTCTTCACGACTGCCACAACCGTCGGGTACGGTCGGAACCTGAGCAGTTGAGGACATCAGGCATTGTGAGCGGCATTGTGCCGTGAGTTTCGCTTCTAGTGTTATTCAACAGGTGCACAGTTGTTCTCGTCGTCGTCGTCGCCGTAGAAGTAGTAGCACTGGTGCTAGTGCTAGTGCTTGTGCGAGTGGTAGTGGATCCGCAGTGGTAGTAGCACTAACAGCAGCAGCAGGAGCAGTAGGAGTAGTTGTAGTTGTAGTAGTAGTTGTAGCAGTAGTAGTAGCAGCAGTAGTAGTAACAATAATAGTAGTAGTGGATGTTGGTGTTGTTGTGGTTGTGGCAGCAACGGCAGCAGTGCCAGCGGCAGCAGGAGCAGGAGTGGTGTCAATAGTGGCAGTCGCAGTTGCAGCGGTAGGACTGGATGGCAAATGTGTGTTGTAAGTAAGCAGGAGCAGAAGAATGCTTTCCGCAGCTCTGCAATTGTTCGAGATATGCTTGGCTCCATTGCTTGGCTCAGACCGCAACAGTGAGGGCCATGGTAGCTATTGCAGGTGATCTAGCGCCTGCAAGCAATGTGGACATGCTGCGAGTCTGGACCGTTTCGGGAGAGGAGCTGGCTGCACTGCCTGTGGAGGAGCAGTCGGATGTGCGTTCCCTGAAGCGGCATCTTCAGCGATTCCACGGGTTGCCACGTTTCAGACAGAGACTCCTGTGTAACGGCAGCAGTCTGGATGATGATGCAAGGCGTCGCTGTCGTGTAAGGAGAGACGAGGGAGCAGAGGTCGAGTCTGAAGCTTGGCTTCCCGCCAAGCTTCTCGAATTCAATCTTCCTTGTTAAGGTTTCTTATCCTGTACAGCTCGTAGCCCCGATTTCCGGAAGTTCTAGAACCGGAAATCTAGGTTCTGAGAGGATTCAAGGCTGTGGGTAAAGGCACACGGGCTTTGGGACCTACTTGGAGGTTCATGGGTAGTTATAAGCAGGGTTATAAGTTAAGTAGGGTAACTGTAATTATAACCCATATTAGGGGACTTATAACCCTACTTATAACTACCCATGAACCTCCAAGTAGCGCTGAGAGTATTGTGTCAGGTTGGTTGCAGGGCTGGACCTCCAAGTCGTACTGCTGCCCTTCTGCAACTCCGCTCCAGAGCTACGGGGCAGCCAAGATGGTGAAATCGTTTGAATCGTATTTGGGAGTTTCAAAAAGATGGGACCCTACTATAATACCTTAATTCGTAGGACCCTTATTATAAGGACCCCAAAATGACGTACCCCTAGTTTTCGGGAACCCCAATTTTGTGCTTGCAAGTATCTCCAAACAGTAGCATTCGTAGAATCTGTCTTCGCGGGGGAACGATAGCACAGCGCAGCCATTCACTAGCTTCCCCTCCCCCTCCCCACCCCAAAACCCACAAAAGCCTTAACTCCAAAACCCTCCCCAAAAGCCTTTGTTTCCGGGTGAAAGCTCAGGCAAGTCGAAGAGCTTATAGACCTGGCAAAGCGTGGCAGCCTGTTGGAAGTTGAGGACTTCAAGGGTTCATGGATGGTTCAAAGGAGGGTTTGCAGGTCTTTGAACTCGGGCTACACATGGCAATTGTAGCTTTGGCTTCTTTCCTCTAGCCACGACTGATACTACGCATGAAGCTTCCAGGAGGTCCTGAAGCGTCCACAGGATCCCGATTTGGCTGTGCAAGACGACGGGATATTGCAGTGGCCCTGTATCTCAGCAAGCCCACTCCTTGCAGCAGTCGAGAACCGCGATGTGGAGATGATAAGCCTGCTGCTGGAAGCCCGTGCTTCTGTGACCGAGGAGATTGCCGACGTTGCACACGCTGACTTTCAACTTGTGAATCTGCTCTTGGATGCTGGTGGCCCTGCCACAGGCCGATGTCTTTACCATGCATCTTCGCAAGGTCGCGTTGAACTCGTAAGTCGGTTGCTGGAAGCCGGAGCCGACGAAAGCTACTTACACTTTGAAGAAACTAGGTTCAAGTTTCACAGTACTTCCCCAAGACGATCGCTGCCAGTCGGCACACCGCTCTCCGTTGCATCTGGCCTGGGTCACCTGGAGGTTGTGCAACTTCTATTGAAGGCCGGCGCTGACCAGCATGAGGTCACCCTTGCAGGAACGCCTTTGTATGTGGCTTGCTCCGCAGGCCACACTCAGATTGTACAGCTTCTATTGGAGGCTGGTGCCGACGAGGACGCTGGAACTGAGACAGAGACACCTCTTTATGTCGCATCTTTGAAAGGTCATGCTGAGGCCACACGCTGCCTGCTGAACTCACGTGCTGACGTCAACAGAGGCAACGGAAGAGAAACGCCGCTGTATGCAGCAGCTTCAAGGGGGCACGTGGACACATTATGCTTGTTGCTGCAATCCGGTGCTGACAAGCATAGAGGTAGGGCCGCCGACATGCCCTTACATGTCGCGAAATTCAATGGCCACAGGGAGGTGGTGCATCTTTTGCAAGGCACCTCGCACGCTGCGATACGTTTCCCGCAGCTGTTCAGAGCTGTGGCGCTGCTTTTGGTTTGTAGCGTGCTGCTCTTGGGAGTACGACGGCCTTCTGCATGGAAGCTGGTGAGAGCTGTTCTTCGGCCTCGTCAAAGCTGGATCGGTCGGATTTGGACCCGTATTCTGAATGTGTCCTTAAAAAGCAGAGTCCGCTGCAAGGGCCGTTGAGAAGACCCTTAGATTCCCGGCTTGCCTCCTGGCAGCTAGTGCAGATCCGTGCTTCGAGAGAACTTCTCAAATCTCGGACCGTGCCACCATCCGAATTGCACGCATTCTGCTTGTGGGTACGCTACCAAGGAGATGCCGCCAGGCAGCCCCATATCAAAATCCCGAAACATGACATCCAGATGCTCAGGGCATAGCGAGAACTCAAACTCGAACACCCATCCACCAAGCCGAGACAGATTGGAGCCCACGGCCGGGTTTGTTTTGGAGACGCGTCGAAACCCTAAACCCTAAACTAAGCCTTTAACTCTAACCCTAAACCCTAAACCTGTCTAAACCTGTCAGGTGATGACGTGCCAACGACCACAGCCGGCCGGCTTGTGGCGATCTGCACCTTCTACGCCTGGCGCTCGACAATGCTTACGGGAGCGATACTTGTCATTGCTCTTCCTTGGAGTCAATTATTTAACGGCTGTCTTTCTGCTGTTGTTCCTTCCCACAGTCATTGTCATTGTCACCATTACTATACCATCACAAGGGCTGCCCAATGGGGAGCCGGGGTTCGAGCTTGGGAATTCCGGGCTTCGAGGCTTCCACCAGATTCCTAAAGCTGGCTTCGGTGCCTTCCAGAAGCCGTTGAAGCCCTAGCTCTCGAAGCGTTCTTACCCAGGCTGCCGTTACAGGGCACAAGGGAGGAACAGAAGTTTAAGAGGGTTGGTGAATCCGGAAGCATCCATCCATGTGAGAAGCAGTGGTTCGAAGTTCGGGCTGCACTTCTACCTATGGATTCCTGACAAGACGAGTCAACACGCACTTACCGTCGGATGGGCGTAGTGCTGTCGCTGGTCATTAATTCTTGTGAGGCAGAGATTCCAAGCATTGATAGCGATTCCAGCGAACTTACTGTGGTTCCTGTACGCTGCATCGTAAAGATGCCAAACAGGCCGGCGTGGTCCTTGTCGCGATTATGCTGACGATCGTCGGCAGCATGGCAGCAAGTCATGGCCACACGCAAAGTTTGAGTAGAGGGTTTTGCTCCAAGCCCAAAGACAAGGGTAGGAGATTTGGCAGGAAGATATCTCGGTTGTCCCGATCGGGTCGCATTGGTGGTTTTGTTTGCTTGCTCGCGAGGCTAAACGGTGAGAACTTGTAGTAACGGCCATGCGGTATGACTCAGTTTGATGTATTGTCGTATTGACAGCTTGACAGCAGTCAAGGTAGGAGCATTGAGACGAGTAGCAGTAGAAATGTTGCGGTCTTCAGCAGCGGCAACAGCAGCAGCAGCACCACCACCACCACCATCACCACCGCCACCACGAGCTGCTGCACCAGCAACATTATCATCATCAGCGTCCTCTTGACACGAGCTATGAAGGGCGTCAACCGCACAGGAGCAACAGTAATACAGCGGTGAAAGTGATGATGACCTCAATGGTGCGGGTGGTGATGACGATCAGACTGCCGGTGAAGAAGATGCTGAGGATTATGATGATGGCGAATGAGATGGCCATGTTGGTGATAGCAACAGCAGCAGCAGCAACAGCAAAGCAGCAGCCGCCGCAGCAGCAACGGCAACAGCAACAG